GATTTTACTCCTAGCGTTATTGGACTTCAAACAGTAGTGAAGGTTACACGCAAATGATATATCCATTGCATGGAGTAAGTTATTATCTTTGATATAATGAAACATATGAGTTAAAAAATAAATCGTGAAGCATTCTTAGTGTTTTTATTAAAAATAGCATGCTCCGTCACAGTGGACAAATCTTTCGATACCAGCCTGTGAGAATCCTGTATCATTCTATATTGTAAATATAAAAGCATGAGTGTATGTACTAACCCGTACACATAATGCACAAAGGCGAAGCGTGATTGCATTATCAGAATGGGTTAGTACATACACTCATGCTTTTATATTTCCAATATGATACATGATTCTTTATTGCAATTCAAACATGACTGGGGTCAATGATGAAGTTGAACAGTTCACCATGTACATCTTCAAGGTTGTTGTCTTTGAAGAAATTAAGTTTTTGGAAAAGTTTATTATTTAGAAATACTCAATAGGGGTGATGGGTTACAATTGATATCCATTTGAAAACTATTGAGAAGGTTTTGTTTGTCAAAATATTTAAGGAAATGGAATAATTAATTTGATGCAGAAAAATTATGAAGAATTAGTTGAAAAGAACACATGGATGATTCGCTTTCACCCCCTTTTAAAGAATATCCCTGCTCAACCCATGCATATATCAAAGATTAAATGCACAGCAAAATCATTTTTGTGCATATATCAATCAATTAACACACTGAAATCCTTTAAGCTGAGACACACTTGGCATGTTTGAATTACTGTTAAACCACCAATTTAGTTTCTCAAAGAGGCAGCTGAAACTTTCCGTAGTTTCACAAGCATTTCAAAAAATTTCCCAATTTGAAAGGCTTATTGCTTTTTACAAACACCTGGCATTCGAAGAACGTTTGGTTTAAAGAATTTGTTTCAAAAGTCATATTTCAGTGTTTCAAAAGTCAAATTCGATGGTTTATTATTCAAATCTTATTACGTCTAATGCCGTTGGCCAATTTTCAAAATGGCTGCTCGTTTAAAAATGGCGGCCATTTTAGTGCCAATTTTACAGTAATCTAGGTGCAATATGTAAAACTGTAATAGCAATATGTTTTAAATGTAAAAAAATATATAGGACATTAATAAAGCTAGAATGTAGATATGAAAGAAGCACATGGCAGCCATCTTGAAAAACGGGGGCCTTTACTCGTTATTTTACGATTTTTGCTGTAACTCGAAAAGTAGTGGAGCGATTTTGTTCATATTTGGTATGTGGATACTATAAGCATTGCACACTGTCTAATTACACTTTTGGTAGAAGGCTGCCATTTTGAAAAATGGCCACCATTTTGAAAAATAGACACCATTTTTGAATTTTTTACTATAACTCAAAAACTAGTAGAGCGATTTTGTCCATATTTTATATGTGAATACTATAAGCATGGCACACTGTCTAATGACACTTTGGGTAGTAGGCGACCATTTTGAAAAATGGCGACCATTTTTACATTTTTTACTATAACTCAAAAAGTAGTAGAGCGATTTTGTTCATATTTTAAATGTGAATACTATAAGCATGGCACACTGTCTAATGACACTTTGGGTAGTAGGCGACCATTTTGAAAAATGGCGACCATTTTTACATTTTTTACTATAACTCAAAAAGTAGTAGAGCGATTTTGTCCATATTTTATATGTGAATACTATAAGCATGGCACACTGTCTAATGACACTTTGGGTAGTAGGCGACCATTTTGAAAAATGGCGACCATTTTTACATTTTTTACTATAACTCAAAAACTAGTAGAGCAATTTTGTTCATATTTTATATGTGAATACTATAAGCATGGCACACTGTCTAATGACGCTTTTGGTAGAAGGCGGCCATTTTGAAAAATGGCGACCATTTTTACATTTTTTACTATAGCTCAAAAAGTAGTAGAGCGATTTTGTTCATATTTTATATGTGAATACTATAAGCATGGCACACTGTCTAATGACACTTTGGTTAGTAGGCGACCATTTTGAAAAATGGCGACCATTTTTACATTTTTTACTATACTGACTCAAAAAGTAGTAGAGCGATTTTGTTCATATTTTATATGTGAATTCTATAAGCATGGCACACTGTCTAATGACACTTTGGGTAGTAGGCGACCATTTTGAAAAATGGCGACCATTTTTACATTTTTTACTATACTGACTCAAAAAGTAGTAGAGCGATTTTGTTCATATTTTATATGTGAATACTATAAGCATGGCACACTGTCTAATGACACTTTGGGTAGTAGGCGACCATTTTGAAAAATGGCGACCATTTTTACATTTTTTACTATACTGACTCAAAAAGTAGTACAGCGATTTTGTTCATATTTTATATGTGAATACTATAAGCATGGCACACTGTCTAATGACACTTTGGGTAGTAGGCGACCATTTTGAAAAATGGCGACCATTTTTACATTTTTTACTATAACTCAAAAAGTAGTAGAGCGATTTTGTTCATATTTTATATGTGAATACTATAAGCATGGCACACTGTCTAATGACACTTTGGGTAGTAGGCGACCATTTTGAAAAATGGCGACCATTTTTACATTTTTTACTATAACTCAAAAAGTAGTAGAGCGATTTTGTTCATATTTTATATGTGAATACTATAAGCATGGCACACTGTCTAATGACACTTTGGGTAGTAGGCGACCATTTTGAAAAATGGCGACCATTTTTACATTTTTTACTATACTGACTCAAAAAGTAGTAGAGCGATTTTGTTCATATTTTATATGTGAATACTATAAGCATGGCACACTGTCTAATGACACTTTGGGTAGTAGGCGACCATTTTGAAAAATGGCGACCATTTTTACATTTTTTACTATAACTCAAAACGTAGTAGAGCGATTTTGTTCATATTTTATATGTGAATACTATAAGCATGGCACACTGTCTAATGACACTTTGGGTAGTAGGCGACCATTTTGAAAAATGGCGACCATTTTTACATTTTTTACTATAGCTCAAAAAGTAGTAGAGCGATTTTGTTCATATTTTATATGTGAATACTATAAGCATGGCACACTGTCTAATGACACTTTGGGTAGTAGGTGACCATTTTGAAAAATGGCGACCATTTTTACATTTTTTACTATACTGACTCAAAAAGTAGTAGAGCGATTTTGTTCATATTTTATATGTGAATACTATAAGCATGGCACACTGTCTAATGACACTTTGGGTAGTAGGCGACCATTTTGAAAAATGGCGACCATTTTTACATTTTTTACTATACTGACTCAAAAAGTAGTAGAGCGAGTAGTAGAGTAGTATAAGCATGGCACACTGTCTAATGACGCTTTGGGTAGTAGGCGACCATTTTGAAAAATGGCGACCATTTTTACATTTTTTACTATAACTCAAAAAGTAGTAGAGCAATTTTGTTCATATTTTATATGTGAATACTATAAGCATGGCACACTGTCAAATGACACTTTGGGTAAAAGGCAGCCATTTTTCAAAATGACCACCATTTTTTACTCTTTTTATTCTTACTCGAAAAGTAATGGAGCCATTTTGTTATTGGTTATGGGGAAGAGGGTTTGCACCCATCGTGCCTCCCCCCCCCCCCGCCACACCAATGATCTAATACAAATGGTCACCCAAATACTTGAATTGGTGATTATTCTGATATACATGTAACATTTTAATGTTTTTTTTTATATTTGCAAATCAAGGGTAAGGTAGATGATAAATATTATGTTGTGGCATACAGATTCATGAATTTAGTGTTCTTTGGCATTTGCTGCGCTATGGAGTTTGCATATTTCTAGTACTTTATTCAATTTACTGGACATAAGTGAATGATAAATGAACAAAAGGCACAATACAGAAAAGAAAATAATTTAAATATTATTTGCTTATTTCAGGATGTATGGCATGGGTAATCAGCATGTCAAAAACATATAGATAGAATATGGTGGAATAACAGCAGGGAATAGATGGAAAAACAGATTGCATGTGGAATTGCCACAATACTTCACCGGTATTTATTGTAAAGAACAACTTTTATTTAATTCACTGGAAGGAGCTGTTGACATATGAACAATTAGGATGATAAATGATATGGAGGGCTTGAGGAATGACCACATTACTTCACCAGTGTTTATATACATATATATTAGCTGATTAAAAAATAAAAAGACATATGCAACATTAACAATAGGCATAATATATGATACAGGATGGCACACAAGGATTTATGTACATACTGCAAATCATATTCAAGGATATTTAAATGATACCAGATAGAATGATGATTTGTGACAGTTGTGATTCTTATAGACCATGATGTGAGTCAACTCTGGAGATGCCCCCCCCCTCACACACAAACAATAGCATTTTGAATCAAGTGTGTACATGCCACCCCTCCCAATAAACTTTAGCAACATTTCAAAGATAAAAGACTGATGTTGATATAATTCAGTACAAAGATGAAAAATGGAATTTTTTGCAAGGGTTAATATAGTATGGTAATTACATAGAGATACATGTATGTGATGGCTTGATAGCATATACTTTGATCAGCATTAGTCAAGTTTTGAAATCACTTTATCCCGCAGCAAATTTTTTTACCAAGCGCTGGTACGGGACAGTGGGTTTGAAAACCTGACTGTCCCGTAGCTCAGTGCTACAAAGTGCTCATACGGGATAAAGGTGTTTGACTTCGTGAATATCCTGCGAGCCCTATAAAATTACGTGACAGTGTAACTTCGATTCATCATATCCCGATCTGTGAAAAACATTTGTCGGGGTCGGGACTAATAATCAGATCTCGTATTTCTCATATGACTAACAAAGATACAGACATCTTTACCCCATGCAAGATATTGCCATCTTTCAGATTTACTTGTGACATCACTGGTTTATAAACATCAACAACATGGCAACGGGTACAGCGTTGTTATGCGTATCCATGCTCATTCCAAAAAAAACTTACTATATCTGTCTTTCATTTTTAGAGCTCACAGAAGACAACCATGAAACCGTGTTTCAGGTAAGACACATCTGATGAAATAATGTGTAGAGGTCCATGGTCTAATACTGTAAGTATATATACACTATTTGGTAATGAGGATAAACTTGTACTGCGAGTTTGCGTCACTAAAACGGGTTCGGTTTCTTTTGCACCATTTAAACGTTCGAATGAAAATATTTGGCTCAAACGACTACTATTTAGAATATATTTTCAGGTAAATTACTTAGGACATTATCTTATGGTCGAGCAATTCTTACCCATAATGCAACGTTCTGGTGATGACTGTCGCATACTTTTGGTGTCGAGTATGGGACATTACAGTTGTACGTTTGTAAAGGGTGATCTAGAGGGGAAAAACAAGACAAAAGACACGTCATTCAAATTATATGCAAATTCAAAATGCTATCAGGTAAGAACAGGTACGATAAAAGTATTTGAACGTTTTTATCTTTTAAAATGAACAATACTAAAAGTGTGTCATTGTTTTTACGAAAAACATGAATGAATCGAATTGGCTAAAGATGGAAGTGTCGAGAGTTAGAAGTTAAGTTCGATTTACATTTCTTGCGTTTGATACATGACCGGATTTCCGGTTCATGTGGCCTCCAGTCATAATGATTTGAGCCTGACCATCCTATATCTTAATTTTGAACAGGTTATGCATATGTACAGTTTATACAGTCGACTGCAAAGGAGAAGTACTCAGAATATTGGTGTATTCTCCCTCCATCCGGGATATGTTGACACTGAAATATTTAAGAACATCAGTAAGGTGTATCAAATGATACATAATGTATCACGAAAACTAGGTATGTCAGGCATGATGATTTGTCCTGTGGTTCAATTGGCACTATTTAATTTTGCGGATTTTCTTTGGGCGACGAACACTTGGCCTTGCATTGCTATATAATACCGATCTATACGATTTCCTAAAGTTAACAGAAGACATATATTTGTGTGTTATTGGTATGAAAAGGACTATAAAAAGTGATATATTTCAAATCTTGACGAAGCTGTAAATCGTCATTATATTTGCCAAAATAAAACTGGTGCCAAATAAACCTAAGTTGTAGCCATTTCCAGCTCCACGTTGAAGCTTTTTTAATTGAGAGATGTTATACGGTTCTTGATATGGTGTAATGTTTCCTTGCTTTGCGTATGATTCCAAGCATTATGTGATATATTAGTTGTGAGGATCAATGTTTTCAAATGTTATCGTGTATTAGTTTGAAAAGTTGCTCGATATCATGTAGATGAACATTACAAAATGATGTATTGGTAATGAATAAACAAAACTTGCCCTAGTTGTCAAAACATGCTGCATCCCAACAAGGGATCGAGAAATTTGTCCGCTATAAGTGAGACCTAAAGCTATGATGGTCCTTTTATTTATAGAAATTGAAGAAAGTTTTTGTCTGCTCTAGGGCAGAGGGATTTCATTTTGTAATGAGGTCGCAAAAAGGTCGCAGACGTATTGTTACACATTTTTCATTACCACCTATATCTCAAAACATTCATGATGAATAATTTGATATTGATGATATATCAACAAGTGGTTAAGATATCAAACACGAAACATTTGATATTTTAGATGAAAGAATATGTTTTTAAATATGTTCTTTAGGTTGGTTATTAAAAAATACAAAAACAACCCTAAAATGAGAAACGTTATGGAATTCGTGAAGGATGTTGTGTAGAAAACTGTTTTTGTATTGAAAAAATATGTGCTGCTATGTTTCAAAACACAGAATGGCGTAAATTAGCCCAATTCATTCATTGAACGTCGAGGTTGTCATCGACAATCGACATGTCATGCAACTTGCAGCATTTCATTATTTGTAAACTGTTGCATGCAGTTTATTACCCTGAGATCTACCGCAAACCTTCTGGCCAATGATTTAAAATGCAAATTGTATATTCATAATGTATAATCGTAAAATATATTCTCAAATACTCCAACCGGATAACATTTCAGGTTTAGCCATTAATCGTGAAAAGGGGGCGTTCACAACACTGTATTGCGCAGTGAACCCTGACCTCAAAGGAAAGAGTGGTTACTACGACAACTGTAAACTAAAAACGCCAAGTGACATCTCAAGGTACTTTTACGTTGAAAAATCATACAAAAAGCTTGCACTAGTGTTCTGAAATGGGGATGTGTATTGAAATGCGTTAAAGTTAAAAGCCACATATCCCATGTTATTTTCCTATAGGGAAAACTCGTGCTATCCATTGTTTTCAGCATAGTTTTGGTCATCGAAAATGGATATCTTCAAAATTAGACTTTCAATACAATTCTACTTTTGAAGTAGTTCTGTTATCTACCATTGAAGTCCCCAGACAGGTTTTTATTAGAACTATTTTCCTCATACAATGAATTAAACAAACCAAGTAAGGAGAGTACACTCGATTTTTTTACCCCGAATAAGCCACCTTGTGGCGACGCGAGTAACTCTTTTCCTCCAGTCTGTATTTTCATTCTAGATAGTAAATACTAACACACTGGTAGTTTTGCAATCTGTGCTTTTCTAGATAGACCCGTTGAAATTAAATGAAACTCTCATTGCGTATTTGCAGGAACAAAGAATATCAGGAAATATTGGATAATTACACACGGGAATGTTTGAAAGACTATCTCCAAAAAGATGGGGATGTTGCAGGACCTGTTGATTCATACTATGCAGACAGATCGTGAATTTGCTGACTCATTTATAGATTATAAAATTTGGGCATAATATATATTAAACTAACTATAATGTTCAAATAGTTAACTTACTAATAGATTGTAAAATATAATGATTCGGGCATAATATATATGTTAAACCTTCCTACTGTAGAGTTTTCAAACAGTTTACTTATTGAAAGATTATAAAATATGATCAATTGGGGATCATACATGTATATGTTAAACCTTACTACTGTAGAGTGTTCAAACAGTTTACTTATCAATAGATTGTAAAATATAATGATTCGGGCATAATATATATGTTAAACCTTTCTACTGTAGAGTTTTCAAACAGTTTACTTATTGATAGATTGTAAAATAAATTCAATTGGGGATAATATATATGTTAAACCTTCCTACTGTAGAGTGTTGATAGATTGTAAAATATAATGAATTGGGCATAATACATGTATACAGGGTGTTCCAAAAGTAACTTGACTGGTGCTGGCATTTTGTTGAATATGCACCAATCGTCTTCAAAATTTTACATAATGTATTTTTATGTATTGTAAGTAAAACTGCAAAGTTTCGACAAAAATCATGAAACTGGGGTAGAGTTATGGTTGCTATGGTAACATGACATCACAATACCCGGGGCAACATTCCACGCAGAAAGTTACAGAGACTGGTGGGAATTACATTTGCTAAATACATCATTTGATATTTCTATGTATCCTCTACTTTGAAAAGTGGGGTTCTCTTTGGTCAGTCCAAGAGTAGCACTCTGTATCCATGACTCAAACACATGAGTGAACCCATTTGATGAAATGTCACGCAGGGTCGATAGGACAACTTGAAGAAGGTCATTCTCATCTTTAAAGGTCTTACCACGCTGATTAGCATTCCATTCTCCATATAAAAGTATAAAAATTAGACATTGCATGATCAGGAGAGTATGGTGCATGGTCTTAGACCTCAAGACCTGACTCCACTATAGTTGCAGTAGTCTTTAATGCTGACTTGCGGGCAGGCACCTTATCAAGGTGAATGACTGGCTTCAAATTGGGTCTTTTCAAAAACTCAACAGTGAATTGTGCAGACTGTCATACATAGAGATATTTCAGGAAATTGAATGAATGTTATTATTATGAAACCATACTTGAATCTGAGTTGTATAGCAACAGCATAACTATAAAGCAACTAATAAAACAAACAAGAAATGTTGTATTGTAAGAGGTGAATTAGATACTTTCTTTAGTAATATAAAATGTTAGATGTTACATTTTCATGAAATAGTTGCCCTGGGTATTGTGATGTCACGTTACTATAGTAAGCATAACTTTACCCGCATTTATCATTTTTTCTGAAACTTTACAATTTTAGTTGCACTGCGTCAAAGTACAATTTGTGAAAATTTGAACACACTCGGTGCAGAATTGACAAAATGCCAGAACGAGTCCTGTTACTTTAGGAACACCCTGTATATGTTAAACCTTACTACTATAGAGTGTTCAAGCAGTTAACTTATCAATAGATTGTAAAATATAATGATTCGGGCATAATAAAAATGTTAAACCTTCCTAGTATAGAGTGTTCAAACAGTTTACTTATTGATAGATTGTAAAATATAATGAATTGGGCGTAACTTATATGTTAAATACTCTAACTGTAGAGTGCTCGAGCAGCTAACTCAAAGGCGTAGTCAGGAGAACACACCCCCTCCATAATCAATAAAAATAGAACCATTTGATAGAAGAAAAAAGCCTTAAAATGCTTTTTATTGGCAGCCTCTAGCTCAATTTTGAAGGAAAATGCATCACATTTTATGTAAAATTCAAAATAAATCTAATAAAACATTTTTTCTCTTGTTGATCGCAACCCCTGAATGAAAACCGAAAAAATTGGCAATTGCACCCCCCGACTGAAAACCGAAAAAGATTTGACTGTAAGCTGTTTTCGTCCCTGTAATTTATTGATAGATAATAAAATATAATGAATTGGGCATGATATATATGTTAAACACTCATACTATAGAGTGTTTAACATACATATTTTAATCAATTTAAAGTCCATTAGTTCTAGATACTCTGTATCTATGCACTTGACTTTGTCGCGTACTAATACAGAATTTCTCAAGCGAAATATAAATCGCATGAAGATAAATAATACTAATAACATATATTCTGAAAAGTAATTGAGTAACCTATGTAAAACTGAAGTCAGAATGAAAAAACAACAGAAAACTTGAGAGGGTGTAAAAAACATTTAAGTTCAACCCCGTTCTTTGTCACTCGTTTTGGAAGTTCTAGATGATCTAGCTGTTCGAGTACGTCTATGAAGTTATTAAATAAAACAGTTCTAAGTAAGTCCAATTTGTTCGTGGTTGTATTCTCTGACATATCACTAGCTGCCATCCAGATAACACAATTTATCATTTAACCGATGCGATACTTGATGAAAGATGTGATAAGCTGACCAAATAAAAGGTGCAAGTCATGTTTGGCACCTGAAGCCAGCATTCAGACTGAATGCAATTGAAATAAATCAGCTTATGCACGATAATACAGGTGCCAAAGTGGTTAATTGTGTACTTGTCGTAGTAATATCCATGGTCCAAAGTCTGTAAAACATTTTGTGACTATTATACTAAAATGGGAGGTAGAGTATCATATGAGAAGGTGACCCTGCCATCTGATTGCGTTGTCATAGTTACGGGGGCATCAACTGGAATCGGATATGAAACTGCAAAGAATTTAGCGATGATGGGAGCTAAAGTTATCATGGCTTGTAGGAACGAAGAGAAAACTTCAAAGGTAGGTGAACCTGATTCGGGATCTTTTTATATTATCAAGCCCTTGCAATTGCAAGTTTAAGAGTTGGTTTCGATTAGATACTAGATTGTCAATCTTCCATGCAAACCAACGTTAAATTATAGTATTGGCTTTCTCAAATAATGTTGACTCACATAATATGCCTTTTGGTAACTTAACGTTTATCATGACAATTGAAATATTATATTATTTAGGCCATTGGGGAAATGCGTCAAGACCTTGAAAAACTGCGTCAAGGAAATACGACAGGGTTACAACTGCCCGGGGAGCTTCAGTTACATTATATGAACCTAGACCTTGCCTCACTAAAGTCTACCAAGAAGTTTATAGAAGAGTTTAAAGCCACCGGATGGCCACTACATTTGTTAGTGTGTAACGCAGGACTTGCATTAAACACAATGGGTGAGCTACTTGAATTAGAAGGGATATAACTTGTAAAATGTTTGGAGCATTCTTCTCAAAATTCAGACGATATTTTAAAAATCTTTTGCCAGCTACTTTAATTGTCCTGGAATAAATTCAAGATAGTCTCAGAAGTAAGTGTACACCAGTCTCAAACTCTGGTCCTAAAATAAACAAAAATTGAAAATTCAGAGCGACCAATGGAATCGTGTAATGAACACTTTTTGTTAATACGGTATGACAATATTACCCCATACGTGTAGTTAGTAGTAAGTGAACAAATATGGCCTTTTAAAAATCAAAAAAGCGTCCATCTTAGTTTTTCAATTTGCAAGAGGTTTAGTTTTGTTTTGTTTTGAATTTTCATAACAGAATAGATTTGTCCCTTATGATAAAAATTTCAACTTATGATGTTTTGATTAGTCACTGCTACAAACAGTGTTACGATCGGATATTATATCTTATGTATTTTTCATCCCAGAATATTTAGTTTTATAAAAAAATATCAAAAGGAATAGCATTCAGAGCAACCTATCTACACGTAGACTTTGATACAAACCATCAACATAGCGCAGATATCTCGATGACCTGTACAATTAATTCGATTTGTAAGTGAGACATATCGATAGGGTTGGGACTTCAAAATACAAATGAATCTTATCTCGAGGTTTGACTGATATAGTCAGTTTCGTATAGGAGGGTTGATCGGGATCGTGCGCTGGGGTTGATTTTATTGCATAGATATAACCATTCTACCACCATTTAACATGAGAATCCACTCAGTCCAGCGTCAATTTCTGGGGCCGAAATTGTCATTCTAGAGTTTTACCCCCTTAACAAAATATTATTTGGGGTACTATGATCCAATCCCCTTTATTTGAGTTATTTGTTTGTACTTTGTTTTTGTTTTGGTTTAAGTTATTTATCAAAATAACCTGCAATGAAAATACTTATGGTATAACTAGAGATCTAACTTGATTTTATTTCCTATATATTCAACTGGTCAAATGAACAAGCTGATACCCATAGAATGAAAAATTGGACATTTTACGTCAAGAAATCAATATCAACAAAATATAGAAATACTACTTTATCAACGCCAATGACAACCTTCAAAAAACAAGTCTCAAAGTTTGATGCAGAAAAATGGACACAAGAACTGAGTAAAATAGGACCAAATAATAAACTAAGAACTTACAAAACAATCAAAAGTGAGTTTAAGCCTGAAAGCTATACAAAAATCAACCTCCCTAGATATCAAAGAAGTGCATTCTCCAAACTAAGATGTGGAGTTTTACCACTGAAAATAGAAACTGGGAGATTCACCAAACCCAAGACACCCCTTGAAGACAGGACATGTGAAATGTGTGATGATCATAAAATTGAAAATGAACAACATTTCCTTGTAGAATGTCCGGCCTATGAGGATTTAAGAAGCATTATGATAACAGAAGCTCAAAGCAGCAACCCTGACTTCCTAAACAAAAGTAAAAATGACCAGTTTATAACCCTGAGTACTTCTCCAGAGATGGCTTTTATTGTATCTAAAACTGTATTCCTTATGTACAAACACAGACAAACAAATATGTGATAAACAAAGATTATGTAGTTAGTAAATATTAATGTATTTATTTATTTTTTTAGAAACTACTACATTGTATCTTATGCTATATGGGCAATGATTTAGCCTATGTGACAAATTATTGATCGACAGTCATTTGACATAACTATATGTGCAATACTTCTAATATACATGTATGAAACGTCTCTCATAAGCCGCACTGGCTGGGGCAGTGTTTTTATTATGACATTTTAGTACTATTAGTATCTGTAAAATAAATCTGCTGTGAGACGAAAATAAATAAATAAATATAAAATATAAATAAATATATCCAATTGTATAACTAGAGATCTAACTTGATTTTATTTCCTATATCCAATTTTTCCAAATACTTTCCTTAATAACAACAAGGTGAACTTTTGACAAACGCCTTTCCAATGTAAAATAATTAAGGTTCCAAAAGGCTATACGAAAGAACTACAAATATAGTGTATATAACCATTTATTTTTACTTTTAATAAACTGATGAATGCATGTGTATAATTTCCAGAGCTCACAGAAAACAACCATGAAATGATGTTTCAGGTAAGTCACCTGATGAAATAATAAATAGAGGTCTACGGTCTAAGTCATAGGCCCCGGGAACATGTATAAAATAGCGAGTCGCGGGGCCTATGGTCTAAGTATATACAATATTTGGTAATGCAATGCACAGCTGCCAGTTTGCCGCACTAAAATGGTTCTTTTATTCAGAAATAATATTCGGCACATACGACTACTATTTTAGCATCTATTTTCAGGTGAATTACTTGGGACATTATCTAATGATCGAGCACTTCTTACCCATAATACAACGTTCAGGAGAAGACTGTCGCATAATTTTGGTGTCGAGTTTAGCACATGGCAATTGTACGTTTGTGAAAGATGATATAGAGGGGAAAAACAAGACCAAAGATATGTCATTCAAATTATATTCAAACTCAAAAGGCTATCAGGTAAGAACAGGTGAAATAGAAAGTATAAATGAAATAACTAGCTAACCCCCTATCATCACACCAGTCTATATCTCAACCGTTCTTTCCAGTCATACGAAAAAGTCGTAAAACGGGCTAATTCTGGCTGTGGTCGGGAAATATGTTTAAAATAATTAGCTACTTCGTTCATAAACAGTCTTCAATACGTCCATATAATTCGCAGTTCGTTAAGATCGCACCATGTCGGTCTGCACAGGTATTGCAATTGATATCCGATTGCACAACGTTGTATAGCGCAACCCTAATAGGATTGAAGTACGGTAATTACGTTCCTGGTCTAGTGGGTCATCTCGCTTGAAGTACGTTGTCACACGATCTGATTACAGAACGGTATGGTCGCCATCGAATTTTGAATCATTTCAAAATTCTTAAATCACCTTCCCGTCTGAGAATGTTCATGAAGTTCGCAAATGGACCTTGGAAAGTTGCAGCTACGTTCATTCCATTCGCACATAGTTTAAAACTAGTTTTGAAGAACGCATTGGCAACTTGTTTGGTGTGATAGCTATATTTTTGCTAACTCGTCCATAAGCAGTCTTTAATACGTTCATCAGTTTAAACCCGTTTGCAATTAGTTCTACCTCGTTCTCAATACGTCCTCAGACAGTTCAACTCGTTGTAAAAACGTCCCTAGTAGGATTGAAGTACGACGGTTCCGTTCGTAGTACGTCCAGCTCGTCGTTAGTACGTTGTCACTCGTTCTAATTGTAGAATATGACGACCACGAGAACATTTTGAGCATGTTCTAAGTTCTAGAGGACCTACACCCGTTCGAACTATTCGATGAAGTTTTCAAATAGACCCCAAACGGTTCTAAGTACGTTCAGTCCGTTCGTACACAGTTGAAGCCCGTTTTCGAGAACGTAGTGAGAACTAGTTTGGTGTGATAGTAGGGTAAATAAAAAAGTGTCAAAAGTTGGAAGTAAACAAAATATACTTCTTGCATTTGATCCCTTGACTGGGCTTCCGGGTCACGTGGATAGGCCAGTCCAGTCATTATAGGTCAATCCCTGGTCAGATTATCATATTTTTCATTTTGAATAGGTTATGCATATGTACAGTTTGTACAGTCGACTGCAAAGGAGAAGTGTTCAGAATATTGGTGTATTTTCCCTCCATCCGGGATATGTACAAACTGAATTAGCAAGGGACATCAGTAAGGTGTTTCAAACGATAAATATTGTATCGAGAAAACTGGGTATGTCAACCATTGAGATTCACCGTAACTTTAGTTCAATTGGCACTATTTAATTTGGCGGATTTTTCGACTTTTGACGGCTTTTGATTTGAACGGGAATTTCAATTGACTTTTTGGCAACAACCTCGATTTTGCATTATATTTTCTCTACCATCCATAAGATTTCCTTAGTTGACAGAAGACATCTCTTTAATTTGCATGTGTATGGTATGAAAAGAACTTATGCCTGGGTATATTTATAACTTGAAATCGGACGAAAATCGTCACTATATTTGCCAAAATAAAGCTGGTACCAAATGAACCAAGGTTTCACAACCATTTCTTGAAATTTTCTGTGACACTTATTCAGCTTTCAGAAATTCTACAATTAACAACATCAATAAATGCCCAATAATATAAGTCATGCGATAAATCCGAGATATATTAAAATAAATACGGATTTTATGGCTGATATATAGGCACATGGCAAGCTTTAATTCCTCAATCCCACATTGAAGCTTTTTTTGGTTTAGAGATGTTGCACGATTTTTAATAGTGGCGACATGTTTTCTTTGCGTACGATTCCATGCATTATGGGATAGTAGTGGTGAAGATCTTCAATTGTTATCATATATCGAAAGATTAAACGTTGTTGCTCTATTTTCCGTAGAGTGGTGTAGCAAAAATGATTATTATTATTATTATTAATGATTTTATTTCACTTATTGAAAACAATATAAACAATTACATATAAAAGCATACCAATCGCCATGTGGCATTACAGGTTGCTTTAAGTAAATTAAACATAGTTTTCATGTGGCTTTAGATATCACAAAACAGAAAGTAAGTAAAATATTGTAAATAAAATAGATAAACAATATAAGTTTTTATTTTATTTTATTTGGGTCCAGGAGGTTGAGAGATGCTATATGAGTCAAAGTTTTAACTTTAAATTCTAGTTGGGTGTATATAACACGTTCCAACAAAGTCAGTTACTATGTCAATGAGGGTATTTTGAGAATCTCGACAGAGGGTGTTTTCAAAAATAAGATATTCTAATTGGTCATTTTGATTTGTACATGTGTTTGTATCATAAAGTAGGTTATTTTGTCTCAGTGCAGCCATCATATCAATTCTTTCATTTATATGGCGTGGGCAAGATAGGAGAAAGTGTTTTGTACTTTCAGGGGATCCACAAGGACATTTGTTATCATTAACTCCTGTAAAATTGTGAGAGAAAAAGTGATCTTTTAACATGAAATCAACCCTTAGTCTATTGATGATTTTCTCCTTATTCCTTGAAAGTTTGAGCTTGGTTGTTGGGATAAAATTCATATTAGGAAGTATTAATGAACGAACAGCATTTTTGAAACTAGAAATGGTTGGTAGATCTCTTACAGGTTGGCTTAGGTTGTTCCATTGCTTTATAAGGTTTAGGACTGGTGCATTGAGAAATCTAGTTGTAACTTGAGTGGGTATTTTAAATGGTAAAGAGTGTCTTGTTGTCCTAGTGGCGGGGTTTTTATATATATCAAAAATATCAGAAATGTATTTAGCTACCATTTTTCTATTTATTTTGAACATTATTCGAAGATTTTTTTCTTTTCTTCTTTCACTCAGGGTCTTCCAGTTTAGGCACTGGAAAACTTTGGATGTGTTAGACCCATGGAGGACTCCAGCACATATAACACCTGCTTGATAGTGTAGTTTATCAAGTTTAGCTAGCAAAGCTAACGAGGCTGACCCATAAATTGCACTGCAATAGTCAAAGTTTGACGCTACATAGGAGTTATACATTGTTTCGAGGTGATTTGATTTAACACTGTTTGATAAGTACTTTAGTGGATTGAGCAATTTTTGAACTTTTTGGGAAAGATAATTGATGTGGTCTTCAAAGGTCAAATTTTCATCTAAAATAAATCCCAGATGTTTATGGGAGGTTTTACATGGAATAACTACCCCGTCAAAATAGAGCGGTGTTTTTTGAAGATTTTTGATCCGGTTTGAATGGAATATCACTTGTGCACTTTTGGACGGTTTAAATTTTAGAAACCATTTCTTTGACCATGAGCTAATTGTATTTAGATCATTTTGGATTTGCCCAACTTGGTCGTTAGATGGGTGAAAAAATGAATATAAAGATGTATCGTCAGCATAGATATAGGTTTCTGAGTCTAAATTGTCAGGAAGATCATTTATATAGATTAGGAACATAAGGGGGCCTATTACAGATCCCTGAGGAACACCAGAGTTTATGAAATCATCATTAGAGAATTTTGAATTGTGATCATCGATTGAAACGCAAACTTTTCTATTTCTCAAGTAAGAATTACAAAGATCAGCTGTTTTACCATTTATTCCATAGGATTTCATTTTGTGAATCAGAAGTGAGTGCGGGACGGTATCAAACGCAGCCGAAATATCAAGATACACTGAGTTAATACAATTTCCTAGTTCCATTTGTTTATAAATATAATCTGTAATTGCTAAAAGTTGAAGTTCAGTGTTATGGCCAGGAAGGAACCCTGACTGAAACTTGTATAACAGGTCATTTTCAGAAAGGTGTTTCATAATTCTAGCATGCACTACTTTTTCAAAAATTTTGGAAAATGTGCTTAATAAAGTGATTGGCCTATAGTTTTCAACATAAGACCGATCAGATTTCTTGTAAATAGGAATAATATTTCCTAATTTCCAACAGTCAGGAAATTCAGCTTTTTGAAAAATAAAATTGAAAAGTGATGAAAGTTGGTTTGACAGAGTGGTTGATGCCATTTTCACCATTCTGTTATTGATTCCATCTAGCCCACAAGCTTTGTCACGTTCAAGAGACTGAATGATTTTACTAATTTCATCAGGTGTTGTTGAAATGTTTTCAATGTCTTGGTTGCAACGCTTTGGAAAATTGGGGAAAACAATTTCCCCATTTAACTCATCTTGATGATATTTAGTTGAGAAAAGGCCTAAGAAAAGATCAGCTTTTTCTGCATCAGATGTTGCATATAAGTTTGAAGTTTCACTTCTGAGGCATGGGAGGCAGTCATAAAATTTTTTGGAAAGAAATGAGTTCACAATATCCCAATATTGCTTACCCTTACATGTTGAGTCATTGAGTTGCTTAACTAGTTTTTCCTCGTGGTTGATTTTAGCTTCTTTTATTAGAGTTTTTACCCGCTCGGCTTGTTTGGCATAAGTTTCAAAATAGACCGGATCGTTGTTTAATTTAGACTTCCGAAAGAGCTTTTCTTTTTTCTTAATTTCATTTTTAATGTTTTTATTAATCCATGGCTGGTCATTTGCCCTGGTAGTAAAGGTTTTCTGTGGAATATTTTTGGAGAAAATATCATATATTTCATTTGTAAAATTTTCAGTAGTCAAATTTATATTTTCATTGTTATTAAAGAAAGTGTTGGTCAAATCAATGTTACTAATGTTTGAATTAATTTCATCTAGATCACCTTGGTCATAATTCCAGATTATCTTTTTAGTCAAATGTTTTTTATCTAGTTTAAGTGGAAGGGTAGTCAAAATAGTTGAGTGATCGGTGTTTCCAACAGGGTCAGTAACTGATATTTCTTTAACAAGAAATGGTTTATTTGTAATTGAGAGATCAATACAAGTTCTTGAGTTCCTAGTAATTCTTGTTGGTTCTTTGACTAATTGTACCAGATTTAGGTCACTAAAAATAGCATCTAATTTTGTTCCTCTACAGTCCGTTATACCTTCATTCCACCATTTTTTGTTTTTACAGTTGAAGTCTCCATTTATTGTTAAATAATCACATTTGAATTTAGAAGCAAGTTGCAGATTTTCTCTTATCTCATCAAAATAAATCGATTCTTGGACAGCATTCATGCTAGGGGACCGATAGTGCACCCCATATAAGACAGATGTGTTTTTATATTTAATATTAACCCACAGGCTATTAGCAGTGTTCAGTTCTGGCTTTGGAATACAGATAAGGTCATTTTTAACGTAGATCATAAGGCCCCTACCCCCTGGATGGTACAAGGGAGTGTGGTAATTTGGGATTATATACTTGTCAGAAATAGATTTTTGATTTAGATTTCCAGCTTCACACAAGCCAGCTACTGAGATGTTGGTTTGCCTTAATCTAAGTTTAAGTGTTTCAAACCTGGTACCTTCATTACTTCCAATACTGTTGATATTGGAGAAGAGAAATTTCATGTCACATTGAGCTGTCGTTTCAGGACCAGGATTTGTTTCAACATCACCAGCTTGTAGTAATAGGTGATTTAGGTCTGGAATATTCATGATTAGGTTAGTAATCAATATGAATAATACAAAAGTTTCACTAATTCCCTGCAACAGAGCTCTAAACTTAAGCAGAGAGACACATAGCTTTATGACCAGGATAATTACAATAAGTAATGAATAAAATAGAACAACCATAGCCAAAAATCTAGTAATTAGGAGACTGATGCTTGATATCAAATACGCAGTCTGATAAAGTTCAAGTAAGGAATCCATGTGAATGAAAATAATATACAGAAGGAGATACAAAAAGTTGAAATACTCATCAACTTTTACATTAAGTTTACCAGAACAGGCTGCAGTTCCCTTAAGTGGTAATTTGCAATCCCAGGTCATATTAAAGCATCCTATTCTTCCACGCCATGTATTAATGCAAAAATGATGAATTTATACAATAAAACGAAGCAACAACATTGCCTTAGTTATCAAAAACGTGCTTCATCACGACACAGATATTGGCCAGATCGTTTTGTAGTAGGATCCCAAAGACTCAAAGAATATTTATTGGGCTACTGATCCTACTACAAAAGAATCTGGCCGGAATCTATGCATCACGACGTCAAATCGCATATGTGCGCTAATTGGCCAGGGGCATCACGTTATTTTATTTTATTTTTATTCATAGAAAAAACATTTGAAAGCAGTTACATTAACATATACAATATACATAATTTCATAGAAGTTTTTCATAAAAATCATAACTCTAGAAGTATTAGGCTATTAGTGAGACATAGAGCTATGGAGTTCTTTTATGTTTGAGAAAGTTCTTGTCTACTACTTGTATAGCTATAGTTTTATCACTTGAGATGCTGAAGGATGTAGGAATTTAAGACATTGGCGCTGAACTCAGAATATTTTCACTTGGCACCTTTTGAGGTGGATCCCGGCTATTGCATTAATGGTTGAGAAATAGGGATCGAGACCAGCCATAATTTTCTCCTGATGACCATTGTGAATTATTGTACATGTGTTTTATGGATTATGGCGACGGCTTTTGTGAATGAATGTTGACCCTTTAAAACGCCTATGGACTACCTATCCCACATCATTTGAGACTGAATGCTCTATCTTGTATGAGTACTTGTATCTACAACTATTTTTGAGGTTATGAGTATTGGCTATCGATATCTAATTTCTTCAACATGTATTGTAATGACTTCAGTATGAATGAAATGTCCCTTGGTCTTCTGGTCTTGGATTGTGATATCGGTTCTTGAATGGTGGGGGAAAGGGGGTATTAAGACATTTTTTCTTTTCACGTTAGACCATGGTTTTGGGCTGTATGGGGCTACTGGTCTACACTTAGAGTTTGCTTTTTCTTGCTAAGTTCCATTACAACATTTGGTCCTTTCCCTTTGGCACTAGTGCTTATATATTTATGGAATAGAATGGATGTACGTTAGTGCTAAAATCTAGAATTTTTGGTATTTGTGAATGCTTCATATACCAAGTATGCACAATGCATTTGATTAAAGGTTGTTGTCTACATGTCATGGAATTATTTTACAGCAGATCATTGTCAGCACAAGCCAATTATTATTTGCCCCTTCAAAGAAATGACATTCTATATAGGGGTATTAGACATTGTTTCTTAGTTAGTTAGATCATAGTTTTTGGATATATGGGGTTTGTTTCTCTTGACTGGTATGCACTTAGAGTTTGCTTTTTCTTGCTAAGTTCCATTACAACGTTTGGTCCTTTCCCATTGGCACTCGTGCTTATCTATTTATCATACGTCCACGTATGTATGGGCACCAAAAAGGCAATTGCATAGGCCTACAGTTTATTTTGATGAAATTTATCGTAAACTCTTCTGGCCAATAAACTAAAATGCAAATTATATATTTAAAATAATGTAGTTTATATTCTCATCTACTCCAATCTTAATATTTCAGGTATATCCATTAATCGTGAAAAGGGGGCGTTCACAACATTGTATTGCTCAGTGAACCCTGACCTCAAAGGAACGAGTGGTTACTACGACAACTGTAAACTAACAACGCCAAGTGCCACAACAAGGTACTTATACGTTAACCATATAATATTATCGGTGACGTTTAATGCTTCTCGTTTAAAACAGAAAATGTACATAGTCTCTCAAAAACAGAACTGCCTAATTAGATCAAGAAAAAGTATTAATCCGTTGCTATAGCAACAGTTATAGAACACTATTTGATACCTTAGAAATGTATCATTTTGTGTGTTTTCATCATATTCTTCATATTCTTGATTCTTAAACTCTCTGAAGCATAAAGCATGATTAGAACTGAAGATGAAATAATTCATCATATCATTTATGTAATATGTCTAACATTTCCGTTGCTATGGCAACATCACTTGATAATCAGGTTCTTACATTTCACTTTCTTTAATGAGTATAAAAGTCCGGTCCAAAATAACACTTATGTGTTATGCTCTCTAGGTAAAGAAGAGCTCCTTTAGATGTAAATAGTCACATGAATTTGTAAAAAATGTATAACTTGTAGTTGTAGAACCCCTCCCCACAGCCCCCAAAGTTTGACGATTGGTAAAAACTGGCAAAAAAACTTCCATTTTCTAGGTTCAAATTAAAAATGCAGTGGGATTCAACACTTATTAAGGAACATCTACTGACTTTGTCTGATATAACAATATAAAGATTTTAATTATTGGACAATGGGAAGTATTTTATTTGAAACATATTAGAATCAGGATGCAAATAGATGTGATTTTGATTTTTGACATCCAATATTCAAAGCTTCGTCGAACTGATATCATATTTGAATTCAACATCTAAAACAACATAAAGAATGTGGTATTAAAAATTGTTTAATCAGTTTTGAAATGACGTTTTTCTTTGAAATATTACTTCTACGTCGAATATATTCCTAACACAGATAATGTTACAAAATCATGAAAAGTGAAATTGTTTTCTTGTATTGGACAGATAATATTTTCCTTTACAGATAGACATATTAATTGTATAATTATCAAACTTAAACATGTTATACAAGAATTGATTCCTTGATTCAATCAATCTACAGTGACTATTGAAGTTAAGAGGAACCTTATTTGCAACAGTATACCATGGTATTTGCCCGAATAAGTCACCATATTTTCAAATATAGTCAAATTCTATTATTCTACCAAAGCCTGCGCAATGTGTGTTAATATCAACGACATTTATTGGGTGCTATTTTAATGTTAATATAACTGGTTATCATGACCATGCGTTATTCACTGACAATATTGCTTATTAATTCTTATAAACAGCTTTAATGATGATTTTTAGATAAAAATCAAAGATTGCTAATAAAAACTCAGACAACACAACATATTATGTATCAATGGCTCAAATAATGTCCAACTTGTTCATAAAGTATGTGTGTAACAGCTCTCAAAAGGGATATACCATAATATTTCATGCTCATAAAAAGAACACGTTTTATTATGTCCATATGATTTGTATTCTCCAACACACTCAACACATTCAATTTACTAAAAAACTACATATAATTCAGAATTTATATGACAATCTGGATTAGTTTCATTTCTCAAAATAATTATTTGAAATCGTATTGGTGCATAGCTAAAATCTTAGTGTACTTAGGATACAAAATATTGGACAGCAAAACCTAAATTCACCACAAAAAACAATATTTTGTCTTTTGTTTGTCATTTAAAAGGTAACCCCTAAGAGCACTTTCTGGCGAAGCTTTCAAGACATTATTCATCAACAACGTATCAACAACGTTTATTTAATCAGTTTGTTGGAGGATACAAATCATATGGACATAATAAAATGTATTCTGTTTTATCAGCATGAAATATCAAACAACCTCCTTTTGAGAGCTGGTTGCACACATATACTTTATTAACAATTTTGAGAAATTATTTGAGCCATTGATACATAATTTGTTATCTTGTCTGGGTTTATATTGGCAAACTTTGAATTTTGTCTAAGAAATCAACGTTAAAGCTGTTTTTAAGAATTAATAAGCAATATGTTTAGAATATATCACATGGTCATTATTGCCAATTGTGTTGTCATTAAAATAGCACACATTAAATATAGTTGACATAAAGACGCATCCTTCCGTTGAATAACAGAATTGGTCCATATTTGAAAATATCAATTATCGTAAATTTGCCTACATAAACCTTCAATTAGTAATTTTGCATTCTCTGCTTTTATTCTCTGCTTTTTTTTGATGGACCGTACAATTTAAATGAAACTCTCATTGCGTATTTGCAGGAACAAAGAATATCAGGAAATACTAGAAAGTTACACACGGGAATGTTTGAAAGACGATCTCCCAAAAGATGGCGAGGTTGCAGGATATGTTGATACATATTATACAGACAGACAACCAACGTGCTGAAGCATTGACGGATTACAAAATATAATGAATTGGGCATAATATGTACATGTTAAACGCTCCTAGTGTAGTGTTCAAACAGTTATTACTTACTGATATACAAGTATTGTAAAATATTATAATGAATTGGGCATTATACTTGGGTCAGTCAAAAAGTTCTGTTTATTTATCTCTAACTTTGTCATTTTGAGGATTTACTTCTTGATATTTGGTACATCTATAGAACATATATTTGTGCAACTATTGCCTAAATATTGTATCTCAACTATGATTGGTTATTGAATTATGGTTGCTATGGTAACAGAATTGTGGGGTACACGGTTCAGCTAAAAAACGTCATATTTTTAATGTCACATTAATTCCATTTGGCATCAATTCATTGAACAGTTTTTCATTTTAAAATATCAGATTGTGCAAATTGACAGGTTTTGATGCCAATTCTATTGTCTTGAAGACATCACAGTCAAGGAAATATTCAATTGTGGCAATTTTCAGCTGACATAGGTGATTTTCAGGATGAAAAAGTGAAAAAGGGATTTTGAGAAAAAATCATGTCAAATATTGATTCTCCTAGCAAGTTGTTAAAGTGGAAGCAAAGAAACTTGATACAGTGTATGGTAGAAAACAGGAAAACACTACAAGAGATATTTACTTGTTAAAGGTGCTTTTGGACAGGATGCTCCAAGATATAATACTGTCCGTATATGGTACAATGACTTCTTGTCTGGAAAAAGGGATAAACTGTCTGATTCAGCACGAACTGGCCGGCCCAAGAGTTCTGTAAATGAGGACAATGCTGAGAAAATACAAGAGTTGATTGAGCAAGATAGGCACATTTCACTGGATGAAATTAGTTCCATTCTGAATATTTCTCATGGCTCTTGTCATACAATCATCACTAAAGTATTGAAAAAGTGTTACGTAGCCTCAAAATGGGTTCCAAGATTCCTCACTCAAGAACAGAAGCAAGAAAGAATTGATGTCTCGAGGCAGTTTCTTGATGAATATTGACAATGCTCGTCCCCATACAAGTAATGTTGCCAAGACTGCCTCAGAAGACCTCCAATGGAGCAGGATTCCACAAGCACCATACTCCCCAGACACATCTCCATGTGACTTTTACCTCTTCAGCAATCTAAAGAGGGGTCTTCGATTCCGATTGGATTCCGATGGGGCTCTGCAGGCAGCAGTGCGCAGACGTTTAAATGAATTGTCGGCTAGCGGTTTCAAAGGTGTCTTCAGAGACTGGGTAGAAAGGCACCGAAAGGTCATTGCTGCAGGGGGCTCCTATTTTGAAGGCTAAATAACTAAATTAAACTTAGCTATGACATCGGGGACTTAGTTAGAAAGGAGTTTTTAAATATTAAGACAGTTTAAAGTATATTTCATGTAATATAACAGTGTATGAAAATCAATAAAATTGGGTTGAACCGAGTACATCGCCCTTCTGTTACCATAGCAACCATTTTTCAGTAACCAATGATAGTTGAGATATAATATTTAGTCAATATTAGCACAAATGTATGTTCTGTAAATGTACCAAATATCAAGAAACAATTCCTCAAAATGACAAAGTTAGAGATAAATAAACAGAACTTTTTGACTGACCTAAGTATATATGTTAAACATTCCTACTGTAGAGTGTTCAAACAGTTAACTTATTGATAGTTAGTAAAATATAATGAATTGGGCATATATATGTTAAACATTCCTACTATAGAGTGTTCAAACAGTTTACTTTTTGATAGATTGTAAAATATAATGAATTGGGCATAACATATATGTTAAACCTTCCTAATATAGAGTGTTCTAACAATTAACTTATTGATAGTTAGTAAAATATAATGAATTGGGCATATATATGTTAAACATTCCTACTATAGAGTGTTCAAACAGTTCACTTATTGATAGATTGTAAAATATAATGAATTGGGCATATATGTATGTTAAACATCCCTACTATAGAGTGTTCAAACAGTTCACTTATTGATAGATTGTAAAATATAATGAATTGGGCATATATGTATGTTAAACATCCCTACTATAGAGTGTTCAAATAGTTCACTTATTGATAGTTAGTAAAATATAATGAATTGGGCATATATGTATGTTAAACATCCCTACTATAGAGTGTTCAAATAGTTCACTTATTGATAGTTAGTAAAATATAATGAATTGGGCATATATATGTTAAACATCCCTACTATAGAGTGTTCAAATAGTTCACTTATTGATAGTTAGTAAAATATAATGAATTGGGCATATATGTATGTTAAACATCCCTACTATAGAGTGTTCAAACAGTTCACTTATTGATAGATTGTAAAATATAATGAATTGGGCATAATATATATGTTAAACCTTCCTAATATAGAGTGTTCTAACAATTAACTTATTGCAGATAGTTAGTAAACTATAATGAATTGGGCATATATATGTTAAACATCCCTACTATAGAGTGTTCAAATAGTTCACTTATTGATAGTTAGTAAAATATAATGAATTGGGCATATATGTATGTTAAACATCCCTACTATAGAGTGTTCAAACAGTTCACTTATTGATAGATCGTAAAATATAATGAATTGGGCATAATATGTATGTTAAACATCCCTACTATAGAGTGTTCAAATAGTTCACTTATTGAAAGATTGTAAAATATAATGAATTGGGCATTATATCAGAATATAGATGTTAAACCTTTCTACTGTAGAGTGTTCAAACAGTTTACTTATTGATATATATTGTAAAATATAATGAATGGGGCATAATATACACTATGTTTAACACTTCTACTGCAGAGTATTAAAACAGTTAAAACTTATTGATAGATATATAATATAATGAATTGGGTATAATATATATGTTAAACATTGCTACTGTAGAGTGTTCAAACAGTTAACTTATTACACTTACATGTATATGGATTGAATAATGTAAAATGTCAAGTTAAGTTTAGACAACTTGGTCTCATCTATGTGACAGCTAAAAATTATTCAAACCAAAATAACCAAGGCTGTGGGAGTAGATAGAAAAATACTAATACTGGGCCGCCACGGGCCGCCACGGGCCGCCACGGGCCCGGGGCTTTCAAAATCTCTGAGAGATAAAGATGAGCAGGAGATATTGATGAGCATGAGATAAATTAATTGAATGGGGATTAGGAGATAAATTAATTGGATGGGGCTTTCATCTTAAATGTGTAAAAATGTTAGATAAGATGCGCATGACATCATTGTTATCTTAAATGGGTGAGAAATGTATTTCTTGGACTGAATGTCTTTAGTTAAGTACAAAATAAATTGATTAAATATGTGTACAGATGAAAAGGTTTATTTATTTAAGTCCTATATTGAATTGACCATTGAAAAGGTTAATTTATTTAAGTCCTATATTGACCATACTACTCTACTTGATTTCAACAATAATAGTCTTTTAATGTAATAATTGAATGTTGACATTTAATTATGTCATCACAATGTTAATCCTTCATATTCTAGAACATCTTTTGTTTAATGTGTTAATCTTTTTTTTCTAGAATAATCTAGAGTATATGACATCATCATTTCATGACTTAAGTTTCTTAAAAAATGCATGACATCATGCCCTAAAATAGAATTTGACATCATTTTTACCATATAAAAATCTCCAAAAAGTGTGTGGACCACTTATGAACATGGTAGTAAACAACTGGTGATTTAGACATATCTGTATGCTTGTTTAAGGTAAGTCCTAAATATTTGTATCATATTCTGTACATGATATTCAATAACACAACATCTAAATGCAGTCCATATATGTTCCAATTTCTTTGATAAGTTGATATATATGAATTGTATTTTATGTAAATAATTTCATAGAAATTGAGGGAATTGTATTTTATGTAAATAATTTCATAGTACTTGTAATTGAGGGTAAATAATTTAGAAGAAATTGAGAGAATTTAGCATTGTGACATAGTCGAATACTTTAATTATCATGTACAAATATTCACTGATTTACAAGTATTGTTCACAAATGTTCACTGATGTTCACAAGCATTACCATTAGCATATGTTAGCATCTGTTAGCATTACATCATTATGACATCATAATTTGAGACGTGGGGCTTTCATTGTTTACTTTATTAACATTTATTTCATTAGTTAGCATTATTATTAGCATATGTTAGCATATGTTAGCATTATCATTAGCATCTGTTAGCATTACCATTAGCATATGTTAGCATCTGTTAGCATTATCATTAGCATCTGTTAGCATTACCATTAGCATATGTTAGCATCTGTTAGCATTACATCATTATGACATCATACTTTGAGACGTGGGGCTTTCATTGTTTACTTTATTAACATTTATTTCATTAGTTAGCATTATTATTAGCATATGTTAGCATCTGTTAGCATTATCATTAGCATCTGTTAGCATTACCATTAGCATATGTTAGCATCTGTTAGCATTATCATTAGCATCTGTTAGCATTACCATTAGCATATGTTAGCATCTGTTCGCATTATCATTAGCATCTGTTAGCATTATCATTAGCATATGTTAGCATATGTTAGCATTATCATTAGCATCTGTTAGCATTACCATTAGCATATGTTAGCATCTGTTAGCATTATCATTAGCATCTGTTAGCATTACCATTAGCATATGTTAGCATCTGTTAACATTATCATTAGCATCTGTTAGCATTACCATTAGCATATGTTAGCATCTGTTAGCATTACCATTAGCATATGTTAGCATTATTTAGCATTAGTTTTACAAATGTTCACTGATGTTCACAAATGTTCACTGATGTTCACAAATGTTCACTGATGTTCACAAATGTTCACTGATGTTCACAAATGTTCACTAGTATTGTTCACTGATGTTCACAAATGTTCACTGATGTTTACAAATGTTCACTGATGTTCACAGGGAATGAGGAGGAGGAGGGAATGAGGAGGATGGAATGAGGAGGGGGATGGGGGATGAGGATGGGGGAATGGGGAGGAGGATGGGATGAGGAGGATGAGGAGAAAATAGGGATGGGGATGGAATGAGGAGGAGGAGGGGGAGGAGGAGGAGGAGGAGGAGGAGGGGGATTTAACAATGAATGAGCATGATAGTAGTCATCTAAAGGGAGAACCATTGACTAAGACAGTACAATCCAATGACATAGCACTACCATATGATTTGAATGCTATTGAAAACCCATTTAAAGAGATGTCACAGTATAAAACTTCAATGATGAAACATCCATATCAGTTCACTTCAAGTATAAAAGATACTATCCCCAGCAACGTTATGCATTCTGAAAACAAAAATTACAACATGAAAGAAATATGTCGTTGTGACTATTGTGGCGTCATGTTAATATCAAGAATGGATCTACAGAATCATATCCAAAACTGTCCATTGAATGAGGATATAGACGACCCTCCAATGAAGAAGGTATGCACTGAAGGGTTTCAGGAAAACCCTGTGTATATACGACTAAAGGATAAAACTATTAATAAATTAAAAGATCAAATTGAAGAACAAGAGGCAAAATATATAGACAAACAGAAGGGGAATTCTGAGTATGATAGAAGATATATGGCGAATCAAAAATTCCTACCCAAAATAAGAGAAACGTTTAAGACATACTACAAATATTTAGTTGAAGATTTACTAGATTTACAATGTAGTCCAACACAGGAAGAAATCATGGTAGACATCCAACAATTAATGAGTACAGGCATACCGTTTGAAGATGCTTTTAAGAAGACCATGTTACACCATAACTATATGACAGAAGACATTATTAATGTAGGACTTTATGATGATGCAAATGTTTCAGATGAATCGTATACTGACTCTAGTGACAATGACGAAGCTAGTGAATCTAGTGATAATGAATCTGATGAAACCAATGATTCTGCTAGTCATAATAAGGATTAATTATATAGATTATGTGGTACTTTTGTTTGTAAAATAAATGCAAATAAATTAAACAATATTGTACATTAATTTTTTCTCAGTTATTTGATGTAGTAATTGATGTTTGATTTTTAAGATAACAATGATGTCATGCGCATCTTATCTCTCACCCATTTAAGATAACAATGATGTCATGCGCATCTTATCTAACATTTTTACACATTTAAGATGAAAGCCCCATCCAATTAACTTATCTCCTAATCCCCATCCAATTAATTTATCTCCTGCTCATCTATATATCCTGCTCATCTTTATCTCTTATGATAATATTATTATAAAAATAGAGTTTTTGAAAGCCCCGGGCCCGTGGCGGCCCGTGGCGGCCCGTGGCGGCCCAGTATTAGTATTTTTCTATCTACTTGTGGGAGCTCAAAGAATAAAAAATACGAATATGATAGTATGCAGCATTGGGAAGATAATTCAATGACCAATGATTTACAATCGTCAACAAAACAAGTAGTTTAACAATATATTTATTTCTTAAGACCTATATAATTCTGTATCTACACTCCCCTCCATAAGTTTGGCAACCTTTTTTCTCCATTGAACTACGTGTTAAAGCCTCTTTACGTTTGAATTTTTATTCATTTAACTGGCGATGAAATAACTTATAATATTGATGGAAACGTAACTTGACTTTATTTCAAATACCTCCAAATTTTTTCAATTTTTTTCCTCTAGTACAATAGGTCGAAAATTGATGATAAATTTGATGAATTATTGAAAATCGTCATTCCCATGTAATCCAATGGGAAATGGAGGGTTCGGGGCAAATCAGAAATCAGGATATCTTTTCAGTAAAAGATTCAGCAAAAAATATTTTTATATAGAAAATTGAATTGTCTAGCTTTATTAACACTAAATGTTTAGTTTATTGGATGAATATTAAAGTTACAGCGCTTCAAAGTCGTTTTTGAAAATAATTTTTCGCCTCCTGTGTTATTTCAATGGGAGAGGTTTTTTGAAAAACAATTTTGACTTTAAAGCCCTATAACTTTGTTGAACCTGAAGAAACATATCAATTTTTTGTTAACTAAAGTTAGCAAATTCTATTGCCTGCCTAACTCGTATTTTTTGCAAAGACTCGGATGGATGGATATTCTGTCATATGACTTGCGGCAAACCTACCATTTCCCATTGGTTAACATGGGAATGTCGATTTTCAAAAATTCATCAAATTCATCATCAATTTTCGACCTATTGTAATTGAGGAAAAAAATTGAGAAAATTTGGAGGTATTGGAAATAAAGTCAAGTTACGTTTCCATCAATATTATAAGTTATTTCATCACCGGTTAAATAAATAAAAATTCAAACGTAAAGAGGCTTTAACACGTAGTTCAATGGGGAAAAAAGGTTGCCAAACTTATGGAGGGGAGTGTATGGGAGTCTCCTGAAGAATATTCTATTAAGACACGTGCATGTATAATCAAATGTTGAAAATCAGAAATAAATTGTATTTATGTATAGGACACATGTGCATATTGTGTAGTCAAATGTTAAAAAAAGAAATAAATTGAATGAGCTACGTGACAATCAACCTTACCTCAAGAGATAGGTTTGGTATTGCAGAGTGAATAAAATTTTTCTTGAAACTTTACAGAATGTGATGACGAATCACAATTGAAACTTTTGCATCAACCAGTAAGACCCATTCTTTTCAATTGAATCATGACATATCCATAGCACTGAATTCGACTCATCCAAGCTGGACAAACTAATTTTCTCTGTCCTCTTTTGCTGTTCCGACTCTTTTTGACGTTTTTAATAGATGTCGCGTAGTTAGAACTCGGGACAGCTGAATAGCGTTTTGCATTATTTTCAGTTTTCCATTCAATTGGATGTTGACGCAGAGTCTCGATTTGATTTGCAGTTTCTTGAAGCTGTTCTATCCTATCCATTGTGTCTGTCAAAGTGTTTGTTAAAGTCAGAATGTTCGATTCACAAGCCGGATCGTCGGGCGACAGGATGCAAAGACCTTCTAGAAGATCATATCTGCTATATTGCGATGGCATGTAGCCTTCGTATTGATGCTTGGCTCCTGAAATCAAAAAGTAACAAATAATGTAACTTTATGTGAGATCAACTGGGTATTTTTATATCAATGGTAATTCAATTGTTTATAACACACATACATTATTCAAACTATCAAATGCAAATTAACTGTATAACATTGACTAGTCCGATTGGTTTTATCTTATATATACGGAATAAAATCTCAGCATCCTATTTAATTGTATCGGCAGATTTAGGCTGATAAATCAGAAACCATCACAGATGATTAAATAGATACGTGACATCGCCTAGACTCCTCCGTAAGAAGGGGGAGTGGTTATATCAGGAATCACTTTGTATGCGATTGCAGAGGCAATGGCCTTCTTATGTACGTGTGCCACACCCAGTATGATTAAAATCAGAACACCCACTTGCTAACGTATATGTTTTTTAACAACGAAACATCTTTTTCTGGTGTTATTTGCACTCAATAGTTTAAAAGATAACACCCCTACACTCCAAGAGGATTGGATCCTTGGGTTCCAACTATTTCAATATCTGCTAATCTATTTGCTCCCTGCTGATTTCTAAAGCAAAAGATGCGCGAATGAATTGCAAGGAGAATGACCGATATTCTATCGATATCGACGATAACAATAAAAATCTCGTTATTTTCTAATATTACAATTGGCTATAAATTCATAATTAGCGATCCAAAAATGTGAACTAATATCTTGATAACTTTTTGTGCTTTTGTGTTTTCTTCTTAATTGTTTTGAAATTCTTTCTTTTGAAATTTAGACCAACATTTGCTATTCAAATTCTGAAAGGAAAAAATGGTGACTGTTTAATTTTGAATTTTGTAATCACGGCATCAGTTAAAACCCTGTGAGCAAACACCACATTGAAATATTTAGATATTGCTCCGAAAATGCAAGGCTCTCACAAATATATTGCATTTGTACGGCAGAAAATAAGAACAATATTTCTGCAATTATAAAGGCGATTTAACTTTTGTATTCTACCTTGCAACAGAATAGTTAGATTCAAAATCAATGACACTGCCTTTTGTCAGTTATAAAGGAACAGGGATAGTGGTCAGTGGGGTAGTGTTCCTTATATGAACCCTGTTTATAAACTGTTATAAACAATAACTAGGCCTTTTGCATAACTATGTGTTATTTTCTCTTCATCAGTAAATTTTAGGTTATCTAAACACCGCTGATATCGGCCTTAAAAGAGTCTGGATTGGTAGCTGGCTGTTCATATTCCAAGGTTTTTGAAGATAAGTGGCAGTCTGAGAAATTGGACCGAAATGCCTTAACGTTGAGAGGTGTTCAAAAGTACGTTTTTGGATCTATTAGGGTATTTAATTCAGTGAAGTTTAGAAAAAAAGTAATTTAATTTTCGTTGATCTTCATTTGCTATAGTTTGACACATTGAGCGTCACGCGTTGTGTTTTGAATAGATAACATATGACATTTTGCATGTATATTGATCTTGGTAATTGTATGAAGTCTTTTTAAATGCAGTCAACTTCTATAATTCACAGGTAAACAACACAACAGAACAACAGACTGTCGACTTTGTTCATTTCCCAAACTATGAGTGTCTACGGCAGAGTATATACAATTAGTACGTTTGGAGAGAGCCATGGAAAAGGGGTAGGTGTAATCATTGAAAATTTTCCACCAAATTTTCCGATCTCAGAAGAAGATATCCAACAGCAGCTAATGCGCAGACGCCCTGGGCAAAGTGCGCTTTCTACAGACAGGATGGAGGCTGACAAAGTAGAGTTGTTATCAGGCGTGGAGCGCGGCCTGACACTCGGAACTCCCATAGCTGCCTTGGTGAAAAACAGGGACCATCGTCCTGAAGATTATAATTTTCACGATGATACAAAGTATATACCACGACCAAGTCACGCCGACCTGACGTACCATCTCAAATATGGTATACATGCTTCTAGTGGGGGAGGAAGGGCAAGTGCTCGCGAAACTATAGGAAGGGTGGTAGCTGGTGCAATAGCGGAGAAATATCTTAGGCATAACTATGGGGTTGACGTTGTCTCATGGGTTGAGCAGGTTGGTCATATCAATATGGACACTGATGCAGTCGCCACCTCGGAAGTAACACGTGATATGGTTGACAAAACAAAGGTTCGATGCCCTGATGTAAGCACTGCTAAGAAAATGATCGACTACATCGCGGAATTAAAATTCAAAGGTGACAGTACAGGAGGAATTATCAAATGTGTCTGTCGTAATGTTCCACCGGGCCTAGGTGAGCCCAGTTTCGATAAACTCGAGGCCTGTCTCGCGCATGCTATGCTCTCGATTCCAGCGACGAAAGGATTTGAAATCGGGTCTGGGTTTTCGGCTGCTGCGATGAAAGGTTCGGACCACAACGATCCATTTGTCCTGAAAGGGGATACGATAGGAACTGTTACAAATAACAGTGGTGGTATTCAAGGAGGGATCTCAAACGGAGAGGATATTGTGTTTAGAGTCGCATTTAAGCCTCCTGCAACGATAGCTCTTCCACAGGATACAGTAAATCTAAGAGGGGAATCCGTTAAACTGGAAACCAGGGGAAGACATGACCCATGTGTAGTGAATAGAGCAGTGCCTATAGTAGAATCCATGGCTGCTATCGTACTCATGGACAACCTTCTAATCCAACGATCAAGACGTCCTGATATATTTCACAATCCTCTTTCCAAATTGGTTGCAAAATGAGACGGAAGATACAAAGTTTGATGGTCTGTTTAAATTGCGTTCATAAAAAACATTGGATTGTTTGTTTTGGACTAATAACTGTATATTACAGCGTCTAATGGCCTAGTCACATAGCCCGGCCGATGTCCGGCATCGGTAGAGCTCGGTGGATTTTTTTGGTGCCACCGAGCTCTCCTCATCGGAAGCAGAGCTCGGTGACGTGAACGGACTCCGTCCGGACATCTTCAGGTACTATACTTTCCAAGGCTCTGTCCCACATCGGCCGGAGCTCGGTCGGAGCTCGGCCGGTGTCCGTTAAAAAAACCTCGTCCTCTGGTTGTCTCAGATGCACGGGACACCGACCGATACTCGGCCGTGCACCGGCCGACGTGTGTTCTGATGTGGTTACGATGGGGCTGCGATGAGGGAGCTCGGTGAGAGCCCGGTGAAATTTAACTCCGAAGTTAAAATTTCACCGAGCTGCCACCGATGCGGTTTTAAGCAACAAACGCCACGGATGTCCGGCCGGTGTCCGGCCGGTGTTCGGCCGAGTTCGGTGAAAATTGTATCGCTGGCTCATCGGAACCTCATCGGCCGGGCTATGTGACTAGGCCATTAATCATGACATAAAGTTATCAGTTTTCAAACAGAAAGGACGGCGTTTCATTTAATTAGCACATACTCCCATGGTCTTTTTAACTATCGCGATAACCAAGCAAACGGACGAGTCAATTTAGACCATCTCGTGTCTTAATTAAATTAATCAATTTAACTGAAAATATTCCTTTGACTTTTCGTGGAAACAGAACATCTTGAACTTTCCTTCAAATAATTTTGTACAAAATCACATCAACTTTGTTACTTCCATTCCAGGGTTACCTTTGGAATATGAAATGAACAGATGACGAGATGGAAGCAATGTGTCTGGAAAGCATCGAACTTATTCAATTGGGCCTTGTGAACTCTGAACTATGGAATCACTTGAAATACAAAACAAAAGCAACGTATCTCTTAGATGAAAGTTGGATGCAGAGGACTTTAAAGCTCGTGGAAGAAATCAAGAAATCTGACAATCCGTTAGTCGGTGGATTATTGTCTGAAATCCTACAAAGAGTTTGCAATATCAAAGCTGATGAATCAAAGTCACTTGCAATTAGTCATATAGTCCGCTTAAAAGATGAAAGTGGGGATTTCATTACACCTTACACTATTCATGTTGAAATTAGATTAATGCTGCAGAATTACGAACAGCCTCTGATTCTGAATCAAGACAATATTAAAGAACTTTTGGCATACTTTACTTCCAAGTCACAAATTGGTTTAAATGCATGTACCTTAAAATGCATAGGAGAACCGTATACATTAAAAATTACCGGACGTGACATGATATCAGTCCTTACGCCAGTCGTGGAGATTCATAAAAGAAATGTTCAAATGGAGTCTCTGAGAGTATTATATGCGCCTGGGTCAAAAAGCGAGACAAACAGGGCATTGTTAATGGCAGCATTGTCGAAGCGAATAGTGACACTTGTAAATATTCTTGAGAGTGAAGATACTGCGTTAATGATGCAAGCGCTTAAGAGATGTGGTGTCATAATTCACCGGACTGGTAAGAGTCAGCTGACTATTCAGGGAAATTGTGGTGTGTTTGAGCAACCACATGGGCCAATATATTTAGGTAACTCTGGTACGAGTATGCGATTCCTAACAGCCGCCATTGCACTAAATGGAAGCAACAAGTATATTCTCGAAGGCAATGAGAGAATGTCCAAAAGACCAATTGCAGATCTTGTAGATGCTTTGAACAATTTTGGATGCAATATAGAGTATGTATCAACAGAGGGATATCCTCCATTGAGAATTATGAAACGGGGAGATGATATCTCTGATAGTATCGATGTGAAATGTAGTAACAGTAGCCAGTTCATCTCTGGTGTCCTTATGGGTATTAGTACACTAAAGAAAATAATAACTATCAATGCTGTCACTAACGTAGTGTCCAAGTCGTTTGTTAACCTAACTGTACACCTTATGAGAGATTTTGGAATCAACATAGAGGAATGCAACTACTCTTGGAAGCTACGCCCAGTTGTACGAGCTATTGATGGTAATGGTGACCATAAACGGAACAATCACCCATCGACCGGAATTACGCGAAGTGAGATGTCCACCTTAGTCGAGGATAATGACGTAAATCTCACTCTGAAAGGTAAAACGTTTGACATTGAGACACGCGATTTATTTAGATATGAGATCGCTGCAGATGCAACTAGTTGTAGTTACTTGGTTGCCATGGCAGCACTAACAAATCAACCAATCCACATTCCAAATTTAATATCTAGGAACAAACAGGGAGACGCTCATCTTCTTACAATTGTCTGCCCAAAATTTGGACTAGATGTTAAAATAACAGATTTTGGTTTTTATTGTACACCTTCAAAACATGGCGTCCTCAAGAATGGCGGTGTCATTGATGTCGACAGTAGTGACATGTTCATAACATTTGCCGTACTTGCTGCATTTGCTGAGGGCGAGACAAAAATCATTAACATAAAGAATCAAGCTATCAAAGAATGTTCTAGAATCAAGGTTACTGCGGAAAATCTTCGTAAAGCTGGTGTTGATGTTATACACGATGATGACAGTATAACAATCGTCGGGAAAGAGACCCAAAACTACAATCAAGTGACCATTGAGTGCCACAATGACCATAGAATAGCTATGGGGTTTGCTGTATTTGCCTATAGGGTAAAGAATGTCAAACTTTCTGACAGCTGGTGTGTAGAAAAGACATTTCCATATTTCTGGCAGACTGTAAAAGAATTAGGTATTGAAACTTTTCCAACAATTATTTGAACATACGGACAGCATACCAAGGTATTGTTTTACGTTAAAACGATGGTAGCCGCAAGAATCAAATGAAAAACAGACTATTCTAAAACTTTGAAAATATGTCGAATATCAAAAGATGTTTTACGTGCATCTTCGATTTAGTTGATGACTTCACTAAAGTCTAAATGCATAATGTTGTTCATAAGTGGACTAATTCAACAGTTGTGAACACAATTTATAGGTTTGTAACACCTAGAACCCCCAGTCACATTTGCTCTACGGCGGCTGTGCGGTGGCCGTAGCTTCACAAAATCGATATATAGAAAATCTACATATCATACTGATTATCCCTATATTTTCTTTCGATTTCTTGAAGCTACCGTAGATCAAATGTGACGGAGGCATTAGTAATAATTAACATTTGAAATTGATGTAGTCAAATATACTCCCCTCCATACGTTTGACAACCTTACCTCCCTCACTGAACTACGTGTTAAAGCCTCTTTATGTTTGAATTTTTATTTGCATAACCTGTGAAGAAAATGCTTATAATATTTATAGGAATTTAACTTGACTTCATTTCCAATGCCTCCAAATGTTCCCACTTTTTTCCTAAATTACAATAGGTCGGAAATTGATGATAAATTTGATGAAATTTTGAAAGTCGTCATTCCCATGTAAACCAATGGGAAATGGTGGGTTCGGGGCAAATCTTATTTCAGGATATCAGTATAAGATTCACCAAAAATATGTTTATATAGAAAATTTAATTGTCTAACTTTTTTTGTACGGTGTTATGTGTTATTTCAATGGGTGGGGGGGGGGGAGTTTTTTGAAAAATAATTTTGACTTTGAAGACCTATAACTTTTTTAAACCTGAAGAAACGTAGCAATTTTTTATTAGATAAAGTTAGCAAATTCAATTGACTACCTTACTTGTAGTTTTTGCAAGAACTCGGATGGATGAATATTCTGTCATATGACTTGCGGAAAATCTACCATTTCCCATTGGTTTACATGGGAATGTCGATTTCCCAAAATTCATCAGATTTATCATCATTTTTCGAACTATTGTAATCGAGGAAAAAAATTGAAAGAATTGGAGGCATTGGAAATGAAGTCAAGTTACATTCCCATAGATATTATAAATATTTTCTTCACAGGTTACGTAAATAAAACTTCAAACATAAAGAGGCTTTAACACGCGTACGTACTTCAATGAGGGAGCTACAGTAAGGTTGTCAAACTTATGGAGGGGAGTGTAATTGAACAGCCAATCTCCAACAGTACCCTAAGGTACCATTTGGCTACAGTACCCTAAGATACCTTGATTTCAGAGTGGTGAATGGGGTTGTATATTCGATAAGATGTCACTAACCTGTTGATTTGATTGCTAGGCCATTAGCAAGTCCAGTGGAGAGAAAAACGAGCAATACTGTAAATGCGTTGTTGATGTGGCTAGCATAGCGAGTCGTTGTGCTATAGCTATATTTAACCTACAATAATAACATGTGTATGTAAATATGTTGTACACAGCTCATAGATACTTTTGGGGGTTTGACAATAAAACACCTGAAACAATAAATTGTGAGAAGTATTCTGTGTTTGAAGCGCAATTAGCAGTGAGATACTGCAGCATTGCTTACTGTTATATTATATATTATATGTGGTACACTACCCTCCACATTTCTGGCAACCACAGTCCCCTTATTGTCTGTTTTGTTTGGAGAATTTAAAAATGACGAACTTCTTAAAATAGAATTAAGATTAAAATATTTTCAGGCTTTGCTATGCTATACGATGAAAATGTCCGGTTGCCCAACTAATTGAGGGTGTGTTTATTTTTTCTTAATCAGAAAATAATTGTCATATTCATAGCGAGAGACTGGTCAACCAGATTGAGTCAAGCGATGCATCTATATCCATTTATTCTAACATACAATCATAAAGAGAACAGACACGATTAAAGTGCCAACAAGACATTCAGCACATTAAATATGAATTGTAATTTATATATCCAATTAGTACTATATATTTCGGCCGAAAGATAGAGAAGGCCTAATGATACAGGTTTAAAAAACAAAATATGCAACGCCAAAGAAATAATCATATTTTGATAATTGTTTATCCAGACTTGATCAAAACCCTGAAACCCCTCTAAACGCTATGAACTACTATAGAAAATATAATTTCTGATTCGATGAGACAATGATATATAACATAATCTATTTTAATCCACCGATGCAACAAAATCTAGTAGTATATTGAGCGACGTTCTTTTTTAAACATTTCAAAGAGAATATTAGTTTTGTTAAAAATGAAAATAGTTACGAACAAAAATTCAGAATACAATGGTTAATTCGAAATATTTTTGTTTGATCTCTTTACAACTACCTTTTCAATTGTATGATATCGCTTGACGATATTCATTGATCAATATTTCAGGAACAGTTTCATCTTAGGTTTCTAACATAACTTTTACAAATCAGAATAATAAGGAAATTTCATTTCAAAAACACGATGTATGTATTTGAATAGCTAAATTATCTTACCTCCAACATAGTGTCTTGTCTCTCCTGAATGATTTAATTCCGACAATACCATGTCTCCTCATTATATTCTGCAAGATCCCTTGCAGAAAAGTATAGCAGCTACACCAACGCAGTAAACGCATTCATGCAAAGTAAAGCTCATGCGCGTCTCATATTCTTTTCTGATAGGTCAAATATTCCATTAACACCTGTTCCATTTATAAAATGATTGATCGATTCTTGAGGCAAATGTATTTTCCAGATGCTGGACATTGTATAACATACAAGGGAGGCAACAAAAGTTATTATTTTCCGCACAATTTTCACATAATATATCTGTTAAAGGCCCTATATTAAGTTTAAACGGCTTATGAAAATGAAAATTCAAACATAGAGAGGCTTTGAACACGTAAGCCTATAAAGGAAAAGCTTGTCAAACGTATGGAGGGGAGTGTACGCCCATTTCCCTCTCGATATGATAGCTATAACCATGAGTATTATGTTGTACAATGCAAACTGAGAGTTGATGACATCACTTCCTGTGTAGCCCGCTCATTAATGACGAGCACTGCATTTTTAAATGATCAAATTTTATCAAAAGATTTTCTTATGTAAGTATGGATATATAATAATGGTTATAGCTATTACATCAAGATAGAAATGAACTCGTAAGGAATATCACTTTCAGCAATGATTTACACCAAAGCATAACATACATCCTAATAACAAAGTTTTGTGCTGAAAAGATAAAAGGGACACACAATCATTTTATCTGCATTAAAATTGTGTATATTGAACATTTCTTGCCAAGAAAAAACGTTCAGTGTTGGTAGGTGTTGTTCAATACACAGATGGTGATTTATACAGAAGTCAGTAGAGTGCGTAGGAAGGGTGTCCCAGTGTTCACTAGAGAGACGTGTTCACTAAGACAGATTTTACTGTATCATCTAAAACCCTTAAAAGTAATAATTTATATGACCCTCTGTCATATGTAAAGAGATCAAGAAAATGTATTGTGGTTAAATGAAGGGAAAAAATTAAATTTCTTCGCCAGGATTTGAGTCCGCTCTGTCTGAGTAAAAGACCAACAGCAAACCTTCGGGCCACTAAGCCACCTGATAATTCAAGTATGTTTATCAAATATATACATTACACCGCACTAAGATTATTAGAATATTGTTAAAAAAATTAATGGTGTTTTATCCATTTTTCATGATGAGAATATGTTCGAAAATCTTCTGCGATTTCAATTTCCAAAATTATGTACATCCATGGATCGGCTGTTTTGGCACCTTGACCTGAACTCATCGTTGTAGAAGGGAAACCTATTTCAACCTAGATAGGCCAACACTATTAATTTATTTTGAAAGTTTAGCATATTTAGAAAATATTTTTTCTAAAAGTCTCAAATACTTTTTCACGTCATAAAAGTAATATTTTGGTAATTAAACTATATTTCAAAACCTTGCACGAGGCCTTTAAAATAAATTTATGTTGATTCTTGGCATTCCTATACCACTGTGTATACGTAAAGTGTTGACGTCATGTCTGTTGAGCTAGTTTCATACATATGTCATTCTGTTATGTGTTGACATGGTTTCCATTTTCCCATTTACTTGTCGTTTTGGTTGGGGTGGGGATGTTTAATGTTTGTTACCTTTTCGATAATTTGTTATACTTTTTTGTAAGCACCATTTGGCATTCACAACTACATATTTGAATTATCAATTTGGCATTGTCGCTCTCCATGGAAACGAGCACGAAAATCATCGCGTGGGTCGTGCAATGGAAATATTTTATTAATGATCTGAGATCGTGTTAATAATCGTTTTGTGAAATGTATACCTGTCTGATATTTGTCTGTATGGTAGTCTTTTGTAAATGATTCTATCATAAAAGTTTAATTCAAAACAAATTAAAAGTAAATTACGAATACATTGTGACAGCAATCAGTCACAACTGATAGTCAATTCCAGTGTTTTATTTCTGATTGTCAAATACAGGATGTCGCTTTTGCGGTCACGAGGTATATGGCTATTACAATCCCATTTTTTTCTTGATGTTCTTTCCAGGATTGTCTTGCCTCTCGTTTTTTAATCAGGTACCTGAACATCTTAACACGTATGCTTTTTTTTGCTTCTTTATTCTTTAAATTCAAATATATTCGATATATGGAATATTTATATTCGATACATCAATGAGGTTCACAAAACGGCCAACGGATTAAATCACGCAATACTATCTGCATTTAATGACATATTTTATTTGTTTAATGACATTTTGCGTAAATTGTTATTGTATTCCTAAGACTAACACATTATATGCGCAATATCGAATTTCTATTTGAACTATACCGAAATAAGTTTGTATATATTTACCAAATGATTTATTTTTCTATAACATAGTTAATGCATTTTACAGAAAGCTAATTTGTCATTTAGCGAATATAGCAATATTCGACAACTTTCGTTTTTGCTCGATATTTTGTCACGTGACCTCAAGCTTTGCAAAATGGTCGTGCAGCGATTCTACATCGTTTTCATTCTCTCTCTGATTTCAATATTTATGGCGATTCCAGACGGTAGTGACGATTAAAAATGGCGGACTTCAAATATATCACGTGACTGAAAGCCTCGTAAAGTATCGGAAAATAACGAAATTTATCGAATGTGTTCGATATTTACCGAATATAAGTAATTTGAATACCGAATATATAAAAAATTAGTTGAATTATAAAGGCGTCAAGGAAAACAAATTAGGGAGGTTAAGCTACACGTATAAATGCAAACCGTATGGCTGGCCATCTGGACCAATGTATCGTCATACTTTTAACGCCGTAAAATCTACTTTTAACGCCGTAAAAACGATTTTATACGCCGTGAAGAATTATTTTTTACGCCGTTAAAAATTACTTTTTACGCCGTTAAAAATTACTTTTTACGCCGTTAAAAATTACTTTTTACGCCGTTAAAAATTAATTTTTACGCCGTTAAAAATGATTTTTTACGCCGTTAAAAATGATTTTTTACGCCGTTAAAAATTACTTTTTACGCCGTTAAGAATTATTTTTTACGCCGTCAAAACTGATTTTTTACGCCTTTCGAAATTGCGAACGTACAGAACATTGTTAATCATTTGCGAAAAAATATTTAAACAATGAAAACTCGATGTATATCAAATTCCCGGTTGTTATATGATAGTTGTAGTCTTACATACAACCAAATGCGTCTGGCAAATAAAAATTCCAATATAAATGATAAATGTGACATGTACAGTAACAGAAAAATAGGGTTTTGGATTTATATCAATCAGTCGGTAAGTCGAACATACACGTTCGTTTGTTCAATGAATACCAGATTGTAACGCTGGTTTTAATTGGCTGCCAGCTATAAGTTTTAACGGCGTAAAAATCAATTTTGACGCCGTACAAAATAATTTTTAACGGCGTAAAAATCGGTTTTGACGGCGTACAAAATCATTTTTAACGGCGTAAAAAGTAATTCTTTACGGCGTATAAAATCGTTTTTACGGCGTTAAAAATTATTTTTGACGCCGTTCAAAATGACTTTTTACGCGTACATAATTATTTTTGACGCCGTAAATAATCAATTTTGACGGCGTACAAAATCGTTTTTAACGGCGTTAAAAGTAATTCTTTACGGCGTATAAAATCGTTTTTACGGCGTTAAAAGTATGACGATACATTGGTCCAGATGGCCAGCCATAAAACCGTGAACCTGAACGCGTAAGTCCACGCTCAAGTACACGTTTAAGAAAATTTTCTGTTAAGCTACACGTTTGAAACCATGTCAGTGGACGTGGACCTATATTTATAAGGTGACTGGGTCTAATGTCATGTCTCTTTGGTGTAATGGATAGCACTTCGGACTCGTGTCCATTGGGACTGGGTTCGAATCTGGTCGCAATAAAACATTTTGTTTTTTATTTTTGCTTTATTTCATATTCAACCACAATTAAAAGGTCTAGTGCACATTTCCATTATGATTTCCTCATGAACAAAATGAATCATTTTTAGGGGTAACATAAAGAATACAATGTCACATAATACTTTTGAAAATATTTAAGCGTTTGAACCCACATTGGCTGAGGTTGAGGTTATTAAGTTCAGCAAGGGTATATTGACTTGACATTGGATTTGTTCTATTGACTTAACATGTGGATACCAACAGATTAAAATGGAGGCCATTGGTTTCTATTGATTTTCACAAAAATACCTAAAATACACTATGACCTGAATCGATTGCAAATTAAATGATTTCACAATATGACACAAATGGTATATCACATCAGACTTACAAATCTAAAGTTTGCAATTGATTCAGGTTATACTTCAAATTAAAAGATTATACATTTTTTTCATCATTTTTTCCTCCAAAATGGCTATAGAAAAATGCTTCAAAAGCAACTTTTACACTTATGAAATCCCATACAACTTTGTAAATCCAAAGATTATACTGTTATGTTTCATTAATTAATGACATATTTGGATAAGATGTAGGGATGTGTAGGATGCAAATGGATTTTGAGAGACACAAAAAGACTTCCTGGTTTGGCATCTCTACCCCTGTACACTTTATGATTAAATATTGGCCCAAATAAGTAGCCCATTCATCAATACAGTGCTGAATAAAGGTCAACAAGATACTAGTGTACATATAAATGTAATAATAAAAGCAGTATATTTGTTTTAAAAAATCAGATGAATTTATTTTTGTTCATGGGGAGATCATAATGGAGGGCGCACTAGATCCTTTCTTGCCCTGGTTGTCATTTCAAGGTTTCATTTTCTTTAATTTTGTATTTATTGAATATTTTTATAGGCTTTTTGGCCAAACGCCAAGTACATGTACATCCGCAAAATAACAACATTTCAGACCATTTATGTCGATTTTCATATAAATTATAATTATCTGTCCAATACAAGGAAAGATATTTCACTTTTGTGATTTTATAACATGGGGTCTATGGGGAATCTCCCCGAACTAGAAGTCACATTTTCAAAAAAAAATTCAAAGCTGATGTAAATTTCAAATATGACATGAATTTAACTGAGTTTTTGAATATATAATGACGTAAATCAAGATAACTTCTACTGGCATCTCGTCCATTAGCGTGGTATCGATTACGATTTTTCTGGG